CAATGGCGCAGAGTTATTCACGTAAGTTCTGCGAGTTCTCTGTTCTATCTGACTGGAAAAACGTCACAGGTGATCAAGTGGATGTTTAGCAAAGGCCATGGCTTTACAATGAACACTTATGGATGTCTCCTCCGGGCTTTGGACATTGATGGCAGGGTGGACGAGGTTGAGCACATCTGGCATACTTTTGTGGTGACGAAACAAGAGAGCGTCCCCAGAGTTATGTATGCTCGAATGATCACGATGTATGATCGGCGAGCATTGCCAGACAAAGCTATCAAGGTAGGTAGACGAAACGTTTTGCGATTGTGGTGGTGATGGTGTTTGTTTTGTGGTCGTAGATGTTTAAAGAGCTGGAGCTTTCAGGAACGAGGCCGGACCCAGCGACAATAATCAGGATCGGGAAGATTTATGAGAAGCTCGGTTTCACGAATAAGACGGCGGAGCTACTCGAGAAGCACAAGCCAACGAAGAGGTTCATATCGTTTAAGTTCAGGTGAGCATTGTGATTGGGCTTGGCGGAAGTTCTTACGCTTGTGATCCTGCGGCTGCTCAGAACGAAGAGTCACAAATTCATGGGAGTCCCGGGCCATGACAGGAGGCGACTAACTTCTTCGGAGAAACAGAAAAAGAGGAAACTTAGAGAACGTCTTGCTACGATCATAGACTTTAGCTGAGGCGAGCTTCTGGTCTTCTACTTTTTCTTCTTGATCAGGGCCAAATCTAAAAAAGTTTCTATAGATCAAAAGCGGATTTTTTTTCCGGCAGCACCCCGTTTGTAAGTCATGGAAGTCCAAATCCATCCTTTAGCCGGCAGTGGTGCGAAAACAGTGGCGACAAGGAATCACCCCGGGTAAGGAGGGCGGGGGAGGAGGAGGACGCTGCGGCGGCGGAGGATGATCGCGTGGCGGAGCTGTGCCGGGCGATAGATTTGCAAGGTGAGAGGCTGCACTCGGGGGGAAATCTCTCAATCTTGGTCTCGACAGTGCAAGCGAGGGCGGCGGCGATTCGAGCCATCCGCGACGCGCAGATCGCCGAGTTCCTGGCGCAGCTCCAGCTCCAGCAGGCGAGCTTGTCGGAAGCATGCCGATTTGCGAGTTCCTGGTTTCTGCCCTAACACCGAGCTCGTGTGCAAGGAGAGCGGAGTGGTGGAGATGAGGAAGAAGAAGCTGCCGACCAGCGATGCCGGGGACCCTCTGGCTTCCTTGTTTGCGCTCAGTGCGCTCAAGAACACTAGCTCCACCGCCGCTGCCACCGCCGCCGCCGCCGCCACCGCCAAAAAGAGCTCCGCTTCCTTCTTTTGCACGCCGCGAACCTTGGGTGGTGGGATATCCTCGAGCATGAAGACTCGAAGTATGCGCTGAGCTTTAGAGGCTGGGCTCTTGCACCAAACAACCATTCCTTGGATCAAGTAAGTGTTACGTTTTTCTTTTCTCTTCCTCTCCTTGTGTATTGCTTTCTCTTGAAATTCTTGCGGTTCTTTCTATTTTGTCTTTGTTCTTTGCTTCAAGTCTCAAGCTCTGCTCTCGCTTTGTTATGTCACACAATTACTGACAAAATGTCCCTGTTCCTTTCCTAGTTTCCATCGTGGACGGGAGGGAGGACAGGTAGCTGGTCTTGTTGGATGGAATCAGGAATCTCATATTGTGTTGCTCTTCTGTCAGATCAGTCAATCAGACGTTCTTCTCAAATTGATGTGCAACAAGACAGTAAGTATGTCCATGCATCACTTCGAAGTTTCAGGTCTTGTCATGGAAGGGATATCCGTTGTTTCCGTCTTCCTAGCCGGAGCTGGTCATTTGGATATTGGCATGCGTACTTTTAGATGGGAGTGACGTTATGAAATAGGTGTCATGAGTTCGGAAGTTATCGTCACCTTGAGGAAAAAATCTTGAGCAGATAATGGCTGCCTCAACAGGATATCAATGGTTTGACTTTTTGGTTCACCTGACAGGGATTGAACCTGGCGTTCTTTTCCTATCGGCCACTTGTCATTTGGGCCGACACTTGGCTCTGGAACCAGTTATATACATAGGAAAAGTGCTGGTGCTGCTTGCCGCAGCTCCGATGGAGATCTTCTTGCTGCGAGCTGGGAGCTGGGAGCTCAAGCGCATGACAAGCCAACTTGTTGCAATCCGGGCATTTGCTATCAGACTCCTCCGTTTATCGGGGCTTGCTATCCGTGAATTTCATGAACAGCATGACAATGGTCTCTGCGATTGTGGAATGAATAAACAAATGTTTTTCTGATCCATCAACATCAAGTTGGAGCATTTCCTTAATCAGCTGACCTATTTACATTGAGGCCTTCCGTGAAATGGATCTAGTAGGAAATATCGTCCACAAGCAACGGACCCGGCAATGGACCTCTATATTCCGCAACAAGACTCAGTCGGGTTTCTGTTCCAACAAAACATCAAACTTCCTTCTGGAACGAAATGTCTTACTGTAAAGCTGAAAGGGTCCTTGCCAGGAGGCCAGGTTCCTCCTCCACACGAGATGGCGGATCCACGGCATGAGTTATCGCACCCAGAGCATGTCCAGAAAGAACCACACCACCCTAAGACATTCAATTAATTCTTCCAGTGTATTTGTACAATTTCTTCCACAATAATCTCATATAACAACTCGGCTCCATGAGAATTTCATGATCCCTGTGGTAATGCCTTGTTGTATGTCACTAGTTAATAGCTAAGTTGTTTGTATGTGAGATTCCTGTAGTTTCAACTGGGCCAAACCGTCGATAATCACCACTAGATAGAAAGCATGAAATTTTGAGTTCTGAAACAACTATGCATAGCTTCAGATAAAGAACAGTTTATTCATTCAACCATTTGTGCTTGTACATGCTACTGATCAATAGCAAGGGCCAAGAAATGGAGGAATGCTGTAGCAGATCCCGGGATTGCAGCAGAAGGGCATGTTAGATGGGCACTGTGAACGACTTGTGCATCTTCGGCGCTGAGCACTAGCGACTTCCACAAAGCAAATTACTACCAGAGCAGCAATCAGCGCAAACAAAACCGCGAACTTCGACATTGTGAAACCAAGACGATTATTCCTCTTGCAGCCTACCTATTTATGAACCAAGTGTTTCTATCACGAATGCCTAAAGGCCGGTCAAGATTTACATTCCCAGTGCCTTCGAGGAACATGATAATGACTGCGAAGTCAGAGCAGCTGTTTACAAGTGGACTTTATATAATTAAGTGCTTGAGAATGTTCTTAGAATATTTTCCTTTAATGTTGGAGATTACTTTTTACCTTTTTACTTATTAACATTAACGTTTTGCTTTGTTCTAAGCTCAAGTCAAAGCTTTCGGATATCAAAGAACCAATTAGCCAATAGTGAGTATGCATCATCTTTCTCTTGCATGATTGTTTATTTTTTATTTTTTTCATCTACTCGGGTGCTTGAAAATCTTCTACGCAATGGAATTCCCAGCGATTCTGGGAAGAATGGTGTGGGAAGTGCATCACTGAGAAAAAGCCCTTTCAAATTGAATCAATTGAAGATCTCAGCTACCTTGCAAACACTTCCAATCTGATTGTACATCTCGACCAGTAGTTCTCTGGAACGCAATGATCATGACATATGCCATATATAGCAAGCAAGCTGCAAAGTGTGAGCTTTCTAACTATTCTGACAACCCATAGTTTCTCGCGGCAGAGAATATGATGGCGGCTCTGGTAAACTTTTATAGAAAGTCTAGCAATGTGGATGACTTACGAGCAGTGACAGGACACAGGATGAAGCAGCTGAGCTTGGTAACCTGGAACACGACAATCACTGGCTTGCTTACGTCCAAAGAAAGGATGAAGATCGAAGATGCAACAGGTATTATCCTTTTGTCTTTCTTTTATAAAACACCACCACAGTGAGATAGAATAAGCACAACACTCACACATGGCAGGGCCTCCACAATGCAGTATTTTTAGAGCAAAGGCCTCTACCACATCATGAGAGGCAATGTTCTATGCTCCAGATAATTGATAAAACTTATAAAATAGGATTTAGCTGAGAGGAGGAAGCTCAATGAGATGTAGGTTACATATAAAACAAACTTTCATGCTGAATGCTGATGGGAATTTAGTACAAAATTGGTAGTGCATAAATCTTTTCTACTTCTCCCATGAGTGCTAAAGTAACTTTATGTGTAAATTATAAAGAAATAAAATATTTATTATTTTTGCTTATTTTATATAAAGTTTTTATCTAACCACTTTTTTTTCTATCTTTTTGAATGGAGCTGGATTAAGATCAAGTGCTTTTAAAGCCATAACATATAAAGTAAATTACACACTTGTCAAATATTTGCCATCTTTATATTTATTAAGAAATATAATCACCTCCTCCTGATGAGTATTTGGGATTAATATGAAACCAAACCTAAATTACGTGTTTGGATTAGCTTGGGGTCTAACCACATTAGTTTCCAAAACCCCTATAAAAATAGAGTGTTGAGAGGTGTTCAACATAAATTTATTTTTTCTTATATTTTATTAGTGGGTTCATTATTTCCCCCTTCTTTCAACAATGAGCTCTTAACAGTTGTGTTGCTATTTCTTTCATGGCTCCAGTGTGATCTAAATATCATTAGCTTTCTCAGATCCTTTTCTTCAACTCTAGTTAAATCTTGATATGCTATGGAAGTTATATTAAGCATTGAAGTAATGCAATATAGTACTTTATATATAGCTTTAGCAAATTATTTAGCACTAACAATAACTTTCTTGTTTAAAGCCAAAGATTTATATGCTAATAAAATTTAATGGTTCTTAAAAAGAACTACTTGAGAGATAATCTATTAGGGTTCAAATGCGCTATGAATAAAAGTGTACAATTGATTAAAGGTCTTGGAACTTGGGCTATGTGAGATACAAAATCCCTAGGCCCTAAGGAGGAGCCGAAAGGGTGCCACATGGTAGTGGTTGAGGCAGAAACTAAATAAGCATAACACATTTAAATTAAAAGCTTTGACTCGAAAAGTTGAAAATAGGAGTGGAACTCCTAACGAAGTGTTTAAGGAACAAACACGAAACAAACAATAAGTGAGTCTCTAGAAAAGGGACACAAGAGGATCAACAAATAACACATGGAAGTGTTTGAAATGGACCCAAGATGGAGTCTAAAATGGACCCGAGATAAAGTTCGAGATGGAATTTGAGATGGACCCAAGATAGAGTCTGAGATGGAGTTCGAGATGGATCTGAGATGGAGTTTGAAATGGACCTGAGATGGAGTCCGAAATGGACCCAAGATGGAGTCCGAGATAGAGTCAAGATAGAGTCTGCGATGAAACCAAGATTGAGACCGAGACTGAGTCCAAGTCCGAAACTGAGACTGAGACAAAGTCCCAGTCCAAATACTAATACAAGTTATTAGGTGAAAACCCAAAGCGATCGTCCCGAGGGGGGCCTGCTGTAAGGGGTTCCAAAAATATAGTAAGGAGCCAATTTGGCCCAAGAAGGCTGTACCCAAATGTTAGGTGATGAGATAATCACTAGGAAGTCCAAGGTTAAAGTGAATATAAACCGACAAATGGGGTAGGTTGGTGATGAAACAAAAGAGTGTCCTCAGAGTTATGTATGCTCGAATGATCACGATGTATGATCAGCGAGCATTGCCAGACAAAGCTATCAAGGTAGGTAGACGAAACGTTTTGAGATCGTGGTGGTGACGCGTTTGTTTTGTGGTCGTAAATGTTTAAAGAGCTGGAGCTTTCAGGAACGAGCAACAATAATCAGGATCGGGAAGATTTATGAGAAGCCCGGTTTCATGAATAAGACAGTGGAGCTACTCGAGAAGCACAAGCCAACGAAGAGGTTCATATCGTTTAAGTTCAGGTGAGCATTGTGATTGGGCTCGGTGGAAGTTCTTACGCTTGTGATCCTGCGGCTGCTCAGAACGAAGAGTCACAAATTCATGGGAGTCCCGGGCCATGACAGGAGGCGACCAACATCTTTGGAGAAACAGAAAAAGAGGAAACTTAGAGAACGTCTTGCTACGATCATAGACTTCAGCTGAGGCGAGTTTCTGGTTTTCTACTTTTTTTTTTCTTGTTTGTCAACAAGAATGGCTTCAAAGTCGGCCTGTACCACACTCCGCTGCTCCTTCATCTTGACGTAGAGCTTGGGGAGAGAAGACCACGAACGTGTTGCCGAGTCATAGATGCAACGCCAGTGGCCCGATACGACGGGGGCATGGCACCCCGTGCTGTATTCCCAGACATGGACGACTTCTTCTACGACTTTGGCCGCGCCAGGTGGAGCACCGGGAAAGTCGTGCGCAACCTGAGGATTACAACGGGCCTGGAGGACAAGACTGAACAAGTTGGAGATTTCCTGCGCTGCGTTTTACCACTCCCAGGACTGTGCACCACGAGGCTGCGGGAGCACAATGGCAAGCGATACTTTGCAAGCGGCTGTATGCAGGAGGCTACCGGGTTATGGCGTGTGGAAGGTTGATGACAATGTTGTTCATCCACATAGAGGGCAATCTCGTCATCTTTTTGGAAACGAAGGTGTTGATTTACGACTTGAGCACAGGGCGCTGGGGATGAATTTGCAGCGGCAGTGGTTTATATCTCCCACACTTAGCTGATTGACTTTAAGGAGACTCTCACTAATCAGCGGGCTCAAGCTCAAGCGTGGGAAGCTGGACAATGTCGGCGATGGACTGGCGGGATTGCTGGCACGAATCGGCAGCGAGGGCTTGATGAACAAGGAGGTAATTTGCAAAGAACTGGGAGTCTCCGCATTATCTTCCGAGCGATTCAAGAGAGATTAATGACGCAAAGAGCTAAGCGAAGAGAGGAAAAAAGAAAAGGAAAGATAGCTTCGTTCAGAATTGAACTTCGCTTAGTTCTCTCTCCACTGTGATATGGACGTGATCAAAAGCAAATCAAAATGAAACTTTCTCCGAGTTCTTCATGGGCACCTGTTTCACCCCAAAGCACGAAGCAACGCGTGCCATAAGATTAGCATCCCGACGAGACAAGCGATGCCAGAGATGCTCGCTGCGTACCTTTATCCATGAAAAACTATAATATTTCCTGGAGGCTTCTTTTGGTTCTTATGTGTACGTTTTTCTGCAGAGGCAATATGAAAAGAGGATGGTCTAGCTGTTCACAACCTTCTCTACAGCCTGGGTTAATTACAAGGTGCACGTTTTTCTTCGGTTTAACACAATTCTTCTCGTATAAGGAATATACGTAAAATATCCAAGAATATTCTATGATATTCTATATGACTTATAATAGGTGGACATTTGCTCCCGGGAGTGTGCATGAAAAGGCTGTGGGGGTACAATGGCCAGCGATACTTTGCAAGCGGCTGGGTGTATAACCGTGAGCTATGGAAGTCCAGATTTGATGGCTATGGCGTGTGGAAGGTTGATGACAAGCTCAGTGTCCGGCTAAAGGGATTGTGTTTATTTAACAGAGGGAGGAATATACGTAAACTTGCATGCATTAAAGATCAATTGGAAACCTAGAATATTAGGGTTTATGAGAGATGAAGCGCAGGCGCAAATTCCAGGACTACCTGGAGATGGAGCTGGGCAAGGATGCGTCCACGGCCGCCGGCGAGGCCGCATTCCAGCGGCGCCTCGCGAAGCAGCTCAAGCTCAAGCGTGGGAAGCTGGACGATGTCGGCGATGGACTGGCGGGATTGCTGGCAGGAATCGGCAGCGAGGGCTTGTCCTCTGATGAACAAGGCTCTGATCCAGGTGATTTGCAAGGGGAGAATGATCACTCCAGTGACAAGGATGAGGATTCCGATGGCGATGGCGGTGACGGTGATCGTTCTAGTGGTGAAAGCGAGTCCGGTGAGCAATCTAGTTCTGGCGATGAATTGGAGGCTGAGCCGGAGCAAGCCTCCAGTGCTAAGTACGTTCCTCCTCACCAGCGAAAGAAGGATCCTTCCGAGGATGAAGTTCGCGTCAAACGAAGAATCAAAGGTACGTTCGCATGAGCAAAGCTTTTTTCTTTCTTGCTTAGTTCTTTGCTTCATTCATCCAGGTCTCTTAAATCGACTCTCGGAAGATAATGTGGAGACTCTAACATCGGAGATTGCCGAGTTCTTCCAGGTAAAAAGCACTTGAAAGTCCTGTTGTTTCTACGAGGAGGAGTGATTTTTTGACAGTTCCATAGCAGGAGCTTCATGACCGAGACGATCACTGACCATGTTTTGGAGTCTTGCTCCAGTGGTCCCCGCGGTAACGAGCAGTGAGTACAACAATGTTTCTCTCATGCTCTTCTCTCTGTCCTCACATATTATACTTTTTCATGGCTAAAGGTACGCAGCAGTCTTTGCAGCGAGCATCTCTGGCACCGCTTGTCTCGTCGGGATGGATTTCGGTGCTAATTTTATGGCGGGCGTTGCTTCGTGCTTTGAGGTGAAACTAGTGCCCGTCTTGGAGCCTTCTTTCGATTCTTATGTGTACCTTTTTCTGCAGAGACAATATGAAAAGAAGGATGGTCTAGCTGTTCGCAACCTTACGCTACTTATTTCTTCGCTCTACAGCCTGGGGTTGATTACAAGGTGCTCTTGTGTGAATATATATTTTTTTCGGTTAACACAATTGTTTTTGAATGAAACAGCGAGCTGGTGTACGATCTCTTGCACCATCTCTGCAAACGATTCCAGGAAATAGATGTCGCCACTATTTTGCACATTATTCGAAGTAAGAACACTAGAGAATGAGCGGCTGGAAATGAGTTCTTATTAACATGTATGAAGGTTGTGGAATGGCGCTTAGGACCAGCGATCCAGTAGCGATGAAAGAGTTTATTCTTGCTGTTCAAGAATGCACGTTGGATTTAAAGCGTTCCACGACCAATGGAGAAATGCCCAAACGAGTAAGCAATTGTCAAAACGTTTTGTGTCTGTTTTGACACGCACGGATCTCTTGCAGGTGGAATTTATGCTCGAGGCGATTTGCGAAGTTAAAAACAATAAGCGTAGAGTAGATGAACCAGCTCGGCATCCAAGGATGAAGAAGTGGCTTCAAAAGGTGTGTATCACCTTACTTGTTTTCACTCATAAACTTTGTTAGTGTAGCTGAAAGTCGAGGACGTGCAACTGCGTTCATTACCCTGGAAGAAGCTAGTCGATCCTCAAAAGAAAGGTCAGTGGTGGCTCGGGACAGTCTCGAATGAAGCAGACGAGGCCGAGGTTCCAAAAGTGGTGGATCTGATTGACTCTGGGGTAGTCGAAGCTGAAAAGATGCTTAAGCTAGCAGCTGCTCAAAGAATGAACACAGACGCAAGACGAGCTATCTTCTCGATTGTCATGAGCAGCGAAGACTACATTGACGCATTCGAGAAACTACTGAGGCTCACCTTGATGGGGAAACAGGTACCTCTTTGTCGATTCATCAATTCATTAAGGCTCTTGGTTTTTTGTTTTCCTAACAGGACCGAGAAATCATGAGAGTCATCCTCGAATGCTGCCTCCAAGAGAAAGTTTTCAACAAGTATTACGCACTGCTGGCTTCCAAATTATGTCACCATGACAAAAACCACAGATTCACCTTACAGGTAGAAAAAAATCGAAGCGGAAAAAGGCTAAAAGTCCTTTTCTTTGCAGTATTGCGTCTGGGATCAGTTCAAAGAGCTGGCCAGCATGGAAGCAAGGCGCAGCATCAATCTGGCCAAGTTCCTCGCTTTCCTGGTCGGATCCTCCGCCTTATCCTTGACAGCACTCAAAGCGGTAGACTTTGGCGATTCCCGGACCATGACAGCACGGGTGGTGGTCCACTTCCGTGCGTTTTTCGAGGCACTGCTCACGGACAAGGACGACACCTTCGTCTCCACGGCATTCTCCCGCATCGCTCGCGCACCCGAGCTCTCGGCGCTCCAGGCCGGCGTTGCCGTGTTCTTGAGGCGCTACGTGAAGCCAACGGGTGGCGCTTTGCTACAGCGAAAGTGTCTCATCGCCAGGAAAGCTTTGTCGTCCGCCACGACCATTTGATGTGGACGACGAGAAGATCATCATCATCGCTCCATCGCGACCGAGCGAGGGCGACCTTTTGAAACACCGTTATCTCTGCGCGAGATTTCTCGATCGCTCACGTCTTCTTCCAAAGACTCGAATCGATTGAATCGATCCGCGAGAGAATCCCGAAAAGACTTTGACGCGCGAGGCTTTACTGGCGCCAAGGTGTCAATGGTTGAATTTAAAAGCGCCGGATATTCCACCGGATATGCCCACATTTGGCGGAGGACTCGCTTAAATTAAACCATCTTTAAGCCGGGAGTGAATATTCCCGCTTTCCTTTTTGGCTTGCATTGTTGTTCCTATCGCTTTGGTTTCTTGCGAGGGTTTGTTCTTGCGGCCAAGAGCGCGCGCGACGCAGCCACTGCGGACAGCGGCAAGATCGAGATTCCCGTGGCGCTAGGCTAGTTTCCAGGCAGCAGGGTCGAATTCGAGCTCTCCGGCGCAGGAATCGAGATCCTGGCAGCACTGGTAAGCGAAATTTCTCTCGATTCTACCATAGGAAGTGCTTTTCTAGCGAAATTTCGGTGTGTCGAGAGAGATCCCGGCTAGGAATGCATCGTCTAGGCACTTCCATTTCGATCTCGCGGCAGTGTTCTTGATGACCGTACATTTCTGGATCTTTGATGCTAAAAGGAGGGGATTTCTTTCGATCTCGCAGGTGGGGGCGAAGCAATGAGCTTAGCGTGCCTCGCATGCCATGTCCTGGACAGCTCCCCGGAGCGAACGCTGCGGAGCTACTCCGACAATGGTGGGCGATGCCTGGGCTTGGGCTGCTGGACGAGGAAGCTCCCCAATGCCGCTCAGATCGAGCCCACCGTGTCCTCCATGTCGGAGTCGGAGCTTGGATCGCGGACGAGATCGCAGCAGCAGGTTGCTCCAGTGCCCGGCTCCTCTTCCACCATCGTCGTCGCCGCGGCAGCAGCGAACTTGGTGGAAGCGCCCAGTAGCCCGAGATTGACGAGATGCCATGCCGTGCGGAGGGATTTGTTCCGGGACTGGAATTTCGAGGAGATGAGCCGGCAGCTGTGCATGAATCTCAGTGGAGCTGCTTGAGACGAGACGAGCGAGCAGTGGCACACAGGCTGTGGAGATCGACTGCTGGCAAGAACACGATGATGCTGGAGAGGTCAGTCTGTAAAACTCTATACCGATCAGACCAGGTACCAGGGATTTTTCTTTTTCTTCTTCTTCTTCTTCCTTGTTCTTTTCGCTATAGTTCGTGAGTGATCAGATAGACAGAGATCGAGGGCAGGAGCATTTAGCAGCTAAGAATTCCTTTGCGGGGCATTGTTCTTCCCTTTTCTCTGTGCGTGTTCTTCGCAGATCTTTGATTGTGTTCTAGACTAGCTCTGTAAAGAACGAACAACTTGGGGCCTTTTCAGCAGCCTTGATAGATCGATCGAAAGCAAAAAGTAAGCGGAGACTTGGCTTGATCGTAATGAAAGTCCAGTAGTCGAAGATTTTGCTCGCTCGAATGCTCGAAGATTTGACGTAAGAGAAAAACTTACTTGCGCTAAAGCTGACTTTGTACAAGAAAGGACACTGGCCTTTTTTGTCGATCAAATCGATCAGAGACCACATGGCTTTTGGTGGGGGAATAATTTTCATGTGGTTGTGAGAGATTCGGTAGAGATTCGCTAGAAATAAAATTTAACTTTAGGGTTTATACCTGTTGAGCTAGGGCAGGGCGGAGAGGATGAGCAACGCGGCTGGAGTGAATCCCACCGTCGCGGAGAAGGAGATGGTAAGCGATCGATTCTTCCGCTGGATCGCTGGACGATCGTATTGCCGCAGATGTTCAATATGGCGCAGCAGGAACTGGAGTCGAGAGTGGATCTGTTCAACAAGTAAGAAAGCAAAGAGGAAATTCCCTTCTTCCTGTGTCACTGAGCCTTTTGTGAATGGTAGAATGACGCTTTCGTGCTTCAACAAATGTATTGGAAGCAGGCAAGTCTTTTTTTTCCTTCTCCATCGTACATTTTCACTGATTTCTTCTCTTCCTTTTCTGCGAATGTAGCTTCAAGGAGTCGGAATTGAATATGGGCGAGAATAGTTGCATTGATCGGTGCACTGCCAAGTACTGGCAGGTTTGTTTTCTTCTCTTTTTTTTCCTCTCCTTTTCCGTAGCGACAGAGTTTTGCTTTGCAGGTGACGACGATTATCGGCCAGCTTCTCGGCTCTTCAAGGCCTCCAATGTGATTCTTTTGACGAACAACGCGGCTGCGACGCCGAAAGTTTTGTTTTCCAGGTTTTGTTAATAGTGTAGCACTCGTAAGTTGGGCAATCAGGCTAGAACCCCGTGTTGCTCGAGCTCCATTCTTTTTCTTTTCCTTCCACTACCACACTCTTTGTTTGTTTCGTGGCATTTGCGTCTGTGTTGCTCTCTGCATGGGTGTTTGACTTTTCCAGGAGCTTTTTTGTATCTTAACCATCCAGTATCTTATGCACTTCACTTCGGCAGTTTTTCCTCTCCACCTTTGCCTAGCTGTCGCAGTTGCAGGCATTTATTTTGGCCTCTGCCACCCCTCATTACTGACCATATGCATAGCATGCCCACTGAAACAAAGTTTTTTGAAAACCGAAGCTATGGTTATTTGGCATTTGATGCTTCTTTGGAGTCCTCGCGGCGTCTCGCTCGCACTGATCTACTTCACTTCTTGGTTTTATCGGTCAGTTAAGGAGGAGAGGAGAGCGTTCTCGCTCCCGTCTCGCGACAAAGCCTGGCATGGCAACAGCAACAACAGCGAAAAAGGCTCTTTTCTTTGCTTTCTCTTTGAAATGGTAACTTATACCTCTGCTGTGCCAGTCTATCTAGCGGCGATTCCGAGGAAGGGATAGCGAGGAGAGGAGGCACCGAGGGTGTTCTGTCTCGTGTACCCGCTCTCGCCTTTCCTCTTTTCCACGAGTTCTTAGCCCCCGGAAAAAGGTGCGTACTGTCTTCTTTTTTTCTTTTTGTTTTGCGCTTTGGACATTGCATTGATGGGTTCGTGTAGGTACGAGCTCATCTACATTGTCGGTGGTAGTGCTGCTCTCTCTCGCGAATGGGAACCTCTGTGCGGCATTGGAAGCAGCGGCTGGTTTTAGTGTGCTTAGCGCTTGGATCGGTTTGCGGTCAGCTGGCATTTGATTTCTACGCCAACAGTTGTCCCAGGGTCGAAGCAGTAGTCGCAAACGCAATCAGGAGTGCCACATTCTTTGATTCTACGCTGCCACCAAAACTTCTCCGGCTCATGTTCCACGATTGCTTCATTGAGGTACAAACTCGCAAAGCAGTCCAAATTGTCATGGTTTTTTGTTCGTCAGGGATGTGATGGTTCCATTTTGATCGACTCTACTGCGAATCATACGGCTGAAAAGGAGGACGAATCCAACAAAACTGCTGATGGTTATGCGGCCATCGATTCTGCAAAATCCGCGCTGGAGTTCTTCTGCCCTGGAGTTGTTTCGTGCGCGGATATTGTGGCCTTGGCTGCTCGGGAGGCGGTAATCATGGTAAGTCGAAACGTAAAATTTGCGTTTTCTATCTCACTTCGTTTTCTGTTTCCAAATTGTAGATGGGTGGACCACAGGTACAAATACCTATGGGCCGAAGAGACGGGTTGATTTCTAAGGTTTCCAATGTGCGTGGAAACATACCGGACACTACACTTACCTTGGACCAGCTCACCAAAGTCTTCAACTCGAAAGGATTGTCTCAAAAGGACCTCATCGTTCTCTCAGGTATAAAGAAGTTCTCGAAGCCTTGTTCTCAAGTGGATGGATTTTCCAGGAGCGCACACCGTCGGCCTGGCACACTGTTTTGCATTCAACGAGCGCTTCCACTTCAGCAGCAATGGCAGCGTCAAAGTGGACTCGACACTCGACCCCGGATTCGCAAGGCAGCTGCTCCAGGCGTGTCCTGAGAGGCCGAATCCCAGAGTCGCGGTAGCGATCGATCCCACCACCCCAAACGCCTTCGACAACGCGTACTACAGGAATCTCCAGAACGGGAAAGGGCTGTTTGGATCCGACCAAGTTCTCTTCACGGACCGGAGAAGCAGGCAGGCGGTGAACTCGTTGTCGGGCGACAGCCGAGAGTTTTTTGGGTCGTGGGCGGACTCGTTTCTCAAGCTCAGCGTTGTACATACCAAGACTGGAAACCAGGGAGAGGTTAGGAGAAGGTGTAGAGCTTTCAATTAAATATACAGTTACGTTAACCTCCTATCTATACTCGTGTCTGATATTCTTCGAATTCTTCGAATTTTTTTTTCTTTAAATATGTGGATCTAAACTTCTTAAATGCATGAAAAGAATCTCTAGAATATTCTCAACTGGGAATATTTTTCTAATTCTGGTTATGTGAATATTTGATGAAAAATAAATGTTATTACTCTTCCTTTAAACACATGCATGAGAAATAGCTCACAAGTAGTGATTTCTTTGGCAGTTCTTCCTGAAAGGTACGCGAGAAACGAGTTTTTCTCTCTTCCCCCAGATGCCGCGAATGGGCATTACATGGAACCTTTAGAATATTCTAAACACCATCTATCTATCTTTGCTCCGCGAGGACGACGAGGAGGCCTTGTTGGCCAAGGAGGACCTCATTGAGCAAGCTGAGGAGCGCAAACCAGGCCACGGGCGCCATATCCACGCCGCCAATGGGCTGTATGATCTTCCTCGTGGGCGCCAGCACGGGCTCGGTGGGCGCGAAGGCGATCACATACGGCAGCTTGTCCACCGGGATCCTTGGGTACCACGACATGACGATCCGGGCAATGAAGAGCACGTTAAACGACGCCATGGCCGGTCCCAAGACATTGATCGCCAATCTGGCCACGCCCGGATCCACCAAGTCGGGGCTCGCCGCCGCCGCCGCCACATCCAGATTCGCCCACAAGAATGTAGTCGTCGCTGCCACCGCTGCCGGGAGAATCGATCCAATTCCCTTGCTGCTGCCGCTCCTGGCGATTTCTATCCGACTTACGGGGATTTTGGTGGAATTGCGGCATGGGTGGCGTGTTCTTCGTTGCGAGGGAAGCAGTGCCACCACCGACAGCAGCACAGAAGCCATAGAATTAAAAGCGCGGGGGACAGGACTTGAACGTCGGACTTCTTGGTACTTTGGGGAATATTTTCTTTATTCTGGGATTTGAAAAATCCTTCACTTAGTTTTTCTTTGTAAAACCCTCGGAACAAGGACTTCACTGGCAACAGCCTCGCACATTTTACTCTTTTCTCTTTTCACTATTCTTCTAAAGTAGTATTATAGTCAGTGATGGACCAGTGACCACCCTTCCAAATGTTGGACTTTCGGAGCATGACGATTGCAAGCGCTTTTCCTCTTTTGCCTGTGGAGATCTCCAAACACACCAACCTGTAAATCACATATCAAGTGCTACACTATAGTTTATCCATAGGAAAATCTCCTTGTTTATAAGATCAAGCCTAATATTTATAATATCAAGCTTGATTTCTTCCATGCTGCAGACCCAAGCAGCACCAGCAGCATGGAAGAAATCATTCAATAGAAGCTTGTATACATTTCACCTCTCTTATATATATGATGAAACTGGCCATCTTGAGAGTTTTTACTATAGAGCTCCAACCTCCACTTTTGTGGAGCCAACCCAAAGCCAATGAATCAGTACTATATAGAGCACTGGAACAAATCAGTAGCAAACGAAATAACTATTTCGTCCATATAGTTTCCCTGGTGGTGACTGTGTACCTGTTCTTGAGGACGATGGCCACACTCCCACCAGTGTTAAATTGTAGCAGCAGCAAGCTCCCTGATCCTTAGAAGTAAATGGAAAAAAAAAATATAGAGTACCTAGAAGAAGAATGGATGATCCGATCCCACCAGAGTTTTAGCTGGGCGAGACGTGACGCCCAACTCAATCCAGCCCCCGGGTCCTCGGATGGATTATTTCTTTCTCTTTGGCTCCTCCTTGGTGATGTGATTTGCCCCCGCCTTTGTGTGTGTACTGTAAACGAGTGCATTCAAAGTCACTCATAGATTTCACCTCCCATGGAAGCTCCACAAGAGGTCCCCGTCGTTGGCTGACTTGTTGTTGGTGTAATCATGCTGCTTGCTCAACCGAAGAAGCAACGCAACGTCCTCCGAGTGATCGCTGCTCTCCTCCTGCCCCGGCGGGGGCGTGATCGCTTCCAAAAACCTCTCCTTTGATGGGTTGCCACCGCCGCCGCCGCCGCCGCTGCTGCTGTGCTGATCGTCTCGCTCGTGGCTCAGCTGCGCCGCCGCGAACTTGTCCACCATTCTCCAGTCCGTGACTGGTTGTTGTTGTGGCTGGCTTTCGTTCTGCCGCTGCTGCTGCGGCTGATGGTGCTGAAGAGATTGAAAGAGCCGGTAGTGATCGAAGGAGCTCTCAAACTGCGCCGCCGCTGGGAGTGAGAAGCTCGCCGGGAGTCCTTTGAAAGGCGCCAAGCTGCTCATTCGCGGGCTCTCCAGCTGCGGAAGAGTCTGGGAGAAAGGGTCGTGCGGCAGCGCCGCCGCGAAGTCGGTCTCAAACTCTTGCTTGCAATTCAGCATCAGGTGGCTGTTGTTATAGGCGAAGTCTGTCACGAATTTGTTGGGTAGCTCCAGCTCCGGCAGCAGAGCGATCTGGTCGATGTCGTAGCCGCAGCTTATATCCCGATCAAGCACCTTGATGCTGTTGTTGCGCTTCTTGAAAACCCGGCAAACCACCCAGCCATCATCCTGCATTTCAGAGCCAAAACCAAAAAAATAAGAGGGTTATAGAAGAAAAAAGCTGCCAAGTACGAGAGGATCTTACATTGTTGTTGCTGCCACTGCTGCTGATGTCCTCCTCGAGCCTGTACTCGTGCATGATCCAGTCGGTCTTCTGCCCGTTTGGAGCTCTCCCTCTGTAGAAAACGAGCGTCTTCCTCATCCCAATGAGCTTATACTTGGCGTGGATTGCTTTGTCCCGCCCAGTGGCCTTCCAAAAACCCGCGGCGGTGGCTCTGTTGGTGCGAGTTCCCGTGGGATACTTCTTGTCCTTGTGACTGAAAAAGTACCATTCGGTTTGTTCAGCTGATCCGATCTTACACTTCTCTGCCAAAATCGAAGAACAATGAAAGAGGTGTCAGTGGTGTGTAATCATGTCGAAATGGAGGAGACTAGACTACCGTGCAAGTCCCAGGGCTCGAGTTTGTAGAGATCGATCTCGTGGATGACGTCCAAGTCGATCTTCTTGGAGGCCACCTTCTTCTGCAAGTAGTAGCCGACCAGCTCCTCGTCGGTGGGATGGAATCGAAAGCCCGGCGGCACGCGAGAGCTGCTGTTGCCCGCCGCGAATGGAGTCATACCTAGTACTATCGATCGATGCGCTCGCGATTACACTAGAAAATCTGGCGCTGCGGCCCCGATTCCCTGGAAGAACTCTCGCTAGCTCCGAGTTCGGCGATATTATGAGAGATTGTGCCGCATTCAAGCTCTTGTTGCTTGGCTTGGAAGCAAATTCTTCCTCATTCCGCGCGGCGCCAAGAAAGATCACAAATACTAGAGAGGAATAAGAAACTCCGACACAATCGATTCCCCGATCGCGAGGAGCCAAGCCGAGCGCATCCGAAATAATGACGATCGCGAGCTCTGGCAGGCCCGATCGACGGAGGGATGGACCGATCGAGCAGAGGAGGCGATAAACCCTAGCGCCTTGCGAGAGAAGAATGTAGCTCTCTTGCGAGAAAGAGTGAGCGCCAAGGAATGCCCTGGCCCTAAAGAAGAAGAAGAAGCTTCCACGCTGAGAGGGGGGGACAAGTTTAACGCGCTTCTGCCCCCACATTCCTCTGACGGGCCGTCAGCACGTCACAGCCCGTCTAGGCCGTGACGTGGCATTGCATTCTCGGGTTGGACGTGGGATCGTCCACATTGGGAAAAACTGGCCCATTTCGATGTCATAATGGTTTTCTGGCCATAGCATAAAAGTTACAATGATATCTGTAGTATGAGAAACCATAGGTAGAAAAACCATGGATCCATGGTTTTGCTCTAAGATCCTTCACATCAATTCAAGGATCTTAGAGCATGAACTTATAGCTAGCAAAACCTTGGAAAAATTCAAAGATCCCAGAGCACTAAGTTTGATCAATTCAAGGATCTTAGAGCACATAGTATGAGAAACTTATAGCTAGCAAAACCTTGGAAAAATTCAAAGATCCCAGAGCACTAAAACTTCCAAGAACACCAACACTCAAACGCTGGATCTTGCTTGTGCCAAGGAGTTTCACAGCCCGGCTTTTGCGGGCCACTGTCTGCTGTTCTCTCGGCCTCTCCGGACTAGAAAAACCAAAAGAAAGCATCGCGAGCGATTAAACAACGAAGAACATATAAGCTTAAGAAAAGCGCTCACCGAGAAGCATTTGATGATTTTGACTAATCGTTCTCGTCTCTCACGCATTGCAAAGCTGGCTGATGTCAAGGATTTGAGTGCAGTCGACGGTAATCTCGTGTTGAATTACGGCCTGCAACCACGTGCAACTCCAGAGGGTCAAAATACATCCACATGATTGAGAGAAACTCACAGAACCGATGGGTGGTCGATCGAGCGAACAAAACGCTGTCTGTGTGCTGCCCCTCGCATTTAAAGAGAATAGGTTTGTTCCAAGTCAGCGCGCAGCAAAGAACCGTATGGATTCATACCTCTCGCCTTGTGCTCGCTGGAAAACTTCTTATATTTCGCGAGGAGCTCTGTGCTGTGTGTGCTGCTGCTGTCACGCTAGAACCTATCCAGACAGGATCAAAGCAAAGTCAGCGACGAGACGTGGCATTTCGTCCCGACAGGTCAGCGTGTTCTCTGGAAAAGAAATAACAAAAGCGAAAAAGCCGAGAGAGAAAAACCAAAACGAAAACAAAAACAAAAATACTTGCTTTGCTGACGAACAGAAAATAGTATACCCGACCAAAATCCTCTCACAGACTCAAAAAATTCCTAGCTAGTCTAGGTAGCCTACTCCTGCCAAAGACCAGAAACAAGGAACTGTTCAGAAGCAAGGACAGGATTAAAAAGGATTACTGCTCACCTTTGGCACGGTTTGCTTTGCTTCCTCCTGATAGGAAACGAATTAAAGTAATGAGTAAGGGAAGGAAAAACCCAAGCGACGTACCTTGGCATCAAATTCCTCCTCATCGTCAGTCACCTCGTCGTCCTCGTCTTCGTCTTCCTCATCCTCGTCATCCTCGTCGTCTCCCGCCTCATCGTCAGATTCCACTGCTTCGCCGGTGAACCACGAGACGGCATGAGGAACAATCTTGTCGCGAATTGTGGCACTGCAAATTAAGGTTGTTGTTAGCATGGTTGCGAAACTTTGATCCCGACTATAGTTCTTACCCCACGTCGTAGTCTTGTTCCATGAGATCTTGAAGCTCCTCGGCCTAAAGAAAGAAGTTATGCACACGTTTTAGAAGAGATGATAAAAGATCGTACCTCTTCAGGATCAATCTCCTCCTCGTTTTCTGGGATTTCAGGGGGGTTGAAAAAGTTAAAAAACGTCTCGCATGCCTGCAACTTTGTCTGAGGGGTGGTGTCCTTGGCGCCTTTCTTAGGCTTCTTCTTCATCAGCTTGACAGTCAGGTCCTTCCCGGGTTTCCAGTCGATTTTGGTTCTGAAAAATAAATATATTGTAAGATAGTAAAGAAATGAAACCACGTACCCGACTGCACGCTCCAGAATCGGCTCGTCGTCGTCCTCTTCCATGTGGTATTCTTTAGTCAGCTGTGAAACAGTCGAGTTCAGTACAGAACGTGGACATAAAAGAACACACTTACGACACTGTTCGTGAAGTAAGGATTCTCGTCGAAGTAGAACTCCAGCTTGAAGCCTTTCGGACTGCTCACGTAGTACGACTTGATATCCTTCAGATACTTCAATGCTCCCTGATCTCTTTCAGTGATCTAGAAAAGGAGAAACGAAAATGTGCCGTTAGATTCTACAGAAAGATGATGAAGCATACAACACAAAACCTGGACTGCCACAATCTCGTTTGCCTTCAAAGCTCCAAGCCAAAACTCCGGCACGCCATTGCTCGCAGCTACATACTCTAACTGGTCAATGAATTCTACAAAGAAAAAGGGGGAAATGTAAAGGAAACCAACCTTCGTCCGGTTTTGTTTCCTCTGCTGAAGAAGCATTCACAATGCTCGCTCGCTGCGAGCATTCAAAGTAAGAAAAAGAAGAGACGTCTCGTTTTACCTTCTCGTATAGCGGAGCATAGAGATTTTGATATTTCGTGATGAGCTCTTCCCTCTCTTTCTTGAATTTCGCCTCGATCTCGTCATGCTCTTTCTGGTCCGAGAGGAAAAAATCATTGGGCGAAAGAAAGCAAGGCTTCTCTCACCTGGATCTCTTGAAGCGAATTGACGCGCTGCTTCACATCCTCGGGGAGCGATGCAAGATGCTCCGCAACGCGCGCCGACGGAGCTAATCAATCAAACCGATCAAGAAAGAAGAGATTGAGAAGCACCGGAGAACCTTTCACAGCAGGATCTGGTTGATCTGCATTGCTCATCCTGAATTCGAATGGACGATCGCCTGCGACGCCCTTCTCGCCTCTTTAGGGTTCTTCCTAAAGAACACTCACAAAGAATATCCTTATAGCAATAAGGTTTACTGATTTGGCGGTGGTTATAATAATAGCGGCTGATCGAGGGCCTGGATGTTGCCACATGTCGCCATGCCAATGCTTCTAGGGCTCTTATCTCGCAAGGAGGGAAATATGGAGGCCGCATTGGTGATCGGCTCGAGCGTGCATTGTTCTTGCGTGATTCACAGCCTCAGCAGCTCTGCCCAGATCGTCCAGAGGAGAGTCGTCGCTAATCGGCTTCGCATCGTCAGGTTTGCTCTCAATGGGGGAGCTCGCGGCAACAAGAGCACGAATTCCCGGCCCTCAATCTCATCGGCACCTCCTCTCACGTCGGAAATCTCCCAGAATTCGAAGAAAATGGCCGTGGAATCATCGTCTTTGTGGCAGAAACTACTCAAGAAGGTCTTAGTTTCACTCTCGTCTTTCAAACTGGCGATTGCCGAGCTCGTCCTCATCGCAGCACTCTCGTCCATAGGTACGCGAATTTTTTTCTCGCTTGTAAAGATTCAAGTTCTATCTACTGCTTTATCCCAGGTACTGTGATCGATCAAGGCGGAGTTCCGGATTTCTACTTCAAGGCTTATCCAGAGGATCATCCTTTCTTGGGGATTTTTTCTTGGAAGGTTATACTTGCGCTCAACTTTGATCATATCTACACGGCTCCATATTTTCTGGGCTTGCTCGCATTGCTGGCCGCTTCGCTCGTTGCGTGTACGTCGACGAGACAAGTCCCACTGGTGAAAGTTGCTCGAAGGTATTTGTTCTTCCACCTCTTTTTCTTTCTTTTCTCTTCTCCTGATCAAAACATCTTGCATGCAGGTGGTCATTTATGAAGAACCCCGCGGGCATTTTGAAAATGGATGCGGCAGAGACTCTTCCTGACGCGAGTCTCGGGGAACTTGGTGTCTTGCTATCCGGAAATGGCTATGAGGTCAGCGCTCAAAGTTCAATCATATGGCTTCATCACGTAAAAGAACTCCTGTACAGGTTTTCTCCGAAGGCTCGTGTTTGTACGCTTTCAAGGGCCTTGCAGGAAGGCTTGCTCCGATTGGTGTCCATGCCGCGTTGCTACTTATAATGGGAGGTGGCCTCGTTAGTGCTTTAGGAGGTTATCATGGAAGCGTGACAATTCCAGAGGGTCTCGACTTGAGGCTGGGCGATGGTTTAAATCCGAATGGCATCTTGGCCACACCATCTCCGACCATGGACCTTAACATACACGTCAATAAGTTTTACATCGAGCAGTATCCCAATGGTCAGGTAAGCTACGTCAAATCTTCAGTGGAAACAAAGCATGAGTTCTGGTTGTTTCAGGTGAAACAATTCTTTTCCGATTTATCTATCACAGACGCAAAGGAGGGCGAGCTTCTGAGGAAAACAATCAGTGTAAACAATCCGTTAAGAATCGCCGGTGCCACCATTTACCAGACTGATTGGGGAATATCGACAGTATTAGTGAGAATCGACGATTCCGAGCCTTTCAACCTTGCGATGGCTCCGCTGCGAAAAGGTGACAACAAGCTTTTTGGAACGTTAATTCCCGAAGGTGTTTTGAACTCCAAAGGAATGTAAGTTCTCCGAGCCTTTAGCGTTTATCTCGTGATGATGCTGTATGTTCTGCAGATCTATTCTAGCACGGGATTTAGAATCTGTGGTGGTGTATGACAAGAAAGGAGAGTTTGTGGGTGTGAGGCGAGTTGGATCGCAGAAGCCGATTGAAGTGGACGGTGTAAACCTTGTTGTGGACGATATGATTGGCAGCACAGGCCTTGAAGTGAAGGTAAGAACCATTGTAACTACAGCAACTGATCCTGTTCTACGTTTTTCTTTTCAAATTCTTACAGATGGATCCAGCCGTGCCCGTTGTCTATGCCGGTTTTGGTGCACTCATGTTTACAACGTGCATAAGTTATCTCTCTCATTCTCAGGTTTGATTCAAGCTCCCTTTTGCATATCGGATTGCACGTTTTCTTTTCTTTTTCTTTTTCAGATTTGGGCCCTCCAAAAGGGAAGCTCAATTATAGTCGGAGGCAAGAGCAACAGAGCAAAGCTTTCGTTCGAGCAAGAGCTAACGGGGATTCTTGATTCGGTCCCCGAACACGTACCAAACAGTGCTGCCAAATAGAAAATGACAAGACGGGCGAGGTCAACGAGCTAGAAAGAAAATCCTGGTAAACAGCAGCGGACATCACTTTTGTTTTTTGAAAAACTTCTTGGCACGCAGGCTAGAGGAGAAGGAGAACGCTCAAAAGGATGAGAGGTATTCATGTGCTGTATGTGGTGGTAGTCGCCTTGCTCTCGCCACACTACGCTTGGTCACCAGCAGTTTGCCATAGCCAGCTATGGAAGGCCAAGAACAAGCTCCGGCTACCGAATTCTGGATGCTCCAAATGGCTATCAGCTCAATGCGCTACTTGGGCTGCCTCGCCTCCACCGGGTCCTTCAAACGACGACGAAGAAACTATGGCTCGACGCTGCGCAGCGGATGTGTTAGCTTTACTGGGTGGAAGTGAGGCGGAAAAATCAGTGACAGAATCTCGAGCTCAGGAGCTTCTGTCGTCCATTCGCTTTCTAGTTCCACCAACGCTGAGAAGCTCGTCATACCGGTCCACGGGAGTTTCTCGAGTAGAAAAGCCAGATTCCAAGGAGCGAATGTGGAGGTTGATAAGGGAACCTCCGGCTTCTGTTGCGAACTTAGCCAGGAAATCCGTGGAATGGGCTGGGGAGCCTGACGCTATACTAGCGGAGCTGGATTCGGCACTTCACAAGGTAAAAGTTGGTATTTTTCCTTCGAAACTTCAGCTGAAAATTTCGTCAGGTCCCTGATGTTGAGAATTCGAACGCTAGCAAGTGCGTGCTTACCAAGCACGATTGTGCCAAGCGTTTTGTTGATCAGGTTCGTGTCCTCCCATCATTTGAAGATAAAGCACGCTCTTAACTATGTGTGGCTTGCAGGAAATCAACTCGTACATGGCATTCCTATTTGAAGCAATTGTTGCTTTAGCTCCCTTGGCAGGTTTTAACGTTTCTTTAAATCGCTACGATCTTTTCCATGCCCACATGTTTACCGCTTACGGCACTGGAAGGCTCGGTATTCTGTAAGCTTGCCTGCTCAAACGCTAGTCACCATGACTGAATGTTTGTAACTTTGCAGGTTTCATTGTCGAGAGTACCCCGAGTATGACAAGAACAGCTTTGCCTTGAACCTCGGCTATTGCCAAACGGGTAAGCGAATGCCTCAATGCAGCGCCTTACAGCATTTGTCAGGATCATTCGTTCCTTACGACAGCAGCATGAACTTAAGAAACATTGTCTGGCTCGCACCAATGCCGTCGTGTACCAGCCACAAATGCTCGACTAAATGGCTCGCACCAGGTAACTCTTGGATTGCAAATATACTAACATCGATCAAAATTTGCCTGAACTGGTTGCAGGTGCGCTCTTCATCTTGGATGCCAAGCCTGGTGGCGTTGTGTTTAAGGAGCTCGTTTCGGAATGGGTTGATGTGGTCAGAACCATCTACGAGAGTAAGTGTGTTTGCGTTCCTAGCTCATGGATTCACCGCACTGTGTCTCTTTATTTTTGTTTCAGGCGATTTTGGGAGAACTGTGATTGATGTTAATTATTTCAACGTGGAGGGTTGTCAAATCTTCCTCACATAGTTGTATTGCCATGAGAATTGATGCCGATTTAGAATTGCTTCCATGGATTGTGAAGGTTCCATGAGTGAAAAACCACAGGCCAAATGTAAGGGGATTAGCTCAAAGTCCAGCTCAAAAGTGAAGATCTTTCCCATGAAGTTAGTGGGCATTTGGTCTAGTGCAAGTCTGGTCTGGTAAAACAGGAGCTTCTTGCGCTTCCATGCAAGCGTCTTGTTGTTGGCTGTGACCCCTCCATATCAGGCAAACACCGAGTTCTAAGCCGTTGTGATCCATCTTCACTAGGAATCTCTCTGCGTCTTCCAGCTCTCCAGTCCGCTATATATTAGTAGCGCATTTCTCACGGTGGAGCTCGAGTTTACCTCCACACCCGAACAAGCTGCTTACGTGCAGAGCCCTCGACCGTTGGACACGCACCCCGATCAACCTGGCCGCAGTGCCTTACGACTGCTGCCCACACCAAAGGAATGCTAACGCGGGAATTGACATGAAGAGAAAAATTATTGCTCCGTTCTTTACGCAAGGGTTCAATCTTTCTCCATTGTCGACTCCTTTTGGCCCTCTTTTGACAATACAGACAGGTTTTGGTGATCAAGATGACATTCTCTCAGCTTTGTGGACTTGGAAACCCACCACTTTTTAGCCTTGAATCCATTACGGCTAACCACCATTCCGAGTTTTCATTGCCTCCATCGGTTATTGAAGTCGTTGCATCTGGAGGTGGCTTGGTATGCATCACCATGGAGCCCATGCAAGGCCTGGATCGCTCTCTCTGAGGATGTGTTTCAGCTGGGGGTAGGCAATCCAGTGTCCCGGTACCACCGCTCCATTGGGGGGACAAAGAAAGGTATCTTGTGGGAGCGATCGACTTTGCCATGTTTGTCGACAAGAATGTCGGAATTCACTACACCGCACCCAATGCCTCGGGCCAACTGGTGCTGCATCTACAACTCGGCAACACGCGCGTGGTCTTCACTCCCCAAGCTCCCATTCTCGCCAGCCTACAACATGACGAGTACACAGCGGGATAGAGCTTACCAAGCGCCGCGACTTTGGCCGCACGAAGTGGACCACCGGGGAAGTTGTGCGCAGCCTGAGAATTACAACGGGCTTGGAAGGAGAGATCTTGCGGTGTTCGCGCATGATGAGGCTGTGGGAGCACAATGGGCAGCAATACTTTGCTCGGCTGGGTGTATGCGGGTGGCTACTCCCAGCTAGTGTACCAATACGAGGTGATGGTTACAAGGGTGGTTTAGTTACAGTCTCAGCAGTGTGCTACGAAGACATCCTTGAACAAGTGCAGTGCAGTTTTATTGCTTCAGATTGTTATACCCATGGCGAGGGCAATCTCGTCATCTTTTCGGAGAGAGGGATTGTTTTTACGACTTGAGCTGGAGTGGAGTGCGCGAATATTCAATGGCTGTGGTTTATCGCCCGTCCCTTAGGACACTTGGTCCGGACCCAGGAGAAGAGCGGCAATGAGACAGACTTGGCGTCTCTCAAGCCCAAGGAATCGATCAAAAAGAAGAACCGAAGAACCGAAGCCCTAACGAACTCACCTAAAATAATCGTACACATCCATACGAAACCAATCTCCTCACGCCTAGCTGCAACATCTTCACTGTGAACAAACTTTCTCTGTTCTAGGCTCGCCCTGACCACTCCTCAGGAGGAATGTGTCTGGAACGCTGTTCTCGGCGAAAGCAGCTATCATCGCAAGACCCCTGATGTTGGCTTTTGCTACTTGCAGGACTTTGGAGCGGCTGTAAGCACTCAGCAAGAACGCGAGTGGCGCTCTTCATCTTAAGAACAGCAAGATGTTCGTCCTGGCAAGTCTCTTTTTCTTTCTTCCTGCACCTTTTTTATGTGAAAAAAACGGCATGATCGATTCCAGGGAGTTCCTCAGCGTGTTCCATCCCGGTGCACCGCTGGAAGAAGAGATCGACTCTTTAAGCTCATGCTCAAATTCTCTTCTCTTTTGTAACTGCCTTCCAGCTATTGGCAAAACATTTGAAGGTGCAATTCTGTTTGGAAGCACACATCACATTATTTGTAGTTTGTGTCCTTGCTCGTGTGCCAGCTTGCTTGCTTGCTTCTGGCTTGTGGTGGATATTTGCAGCAACCTTACAACTGCATTCCCCAGCTTTATTTACAATTCTGGTGTAGGTGATAGTGTTCTGTGGGCCAGCTCAAACTCTGCTTATATGTGCAAGGATTTCAACTTTGCTCAGAGCCATCGCTGTTGTTCTCCTGGACGGACCACAGGTTCCTATATTTGGTAGGAATCTCCTACCTTCAATCTCTCTGGCATGACTGTCAAGAACAGGGTGAGTCGAGCACAAAAGGGATACCAAATCGATTCATGGTGGAGTATAGCAGAATTTGCATGCAATGCACTCTAATTGTCATAAATATTAAAATGGGCATCTAGAGAGTTTTACCAGCATGGATGAATTGTAGCTGTCCATTCCAAGTGTCAAGTTAAACAAAGTATTCTTAAAATGGAATATTTGCAGTATGGGCAGGCTTCCATTCCTTAAGTACATCTTCACTTTGTCCACAAGAGCTGATTTTGATCAAAAGATATGCATATTAGCTCATCTAGAAAACCACAGTAGAAAACTTGTGTGACCAATCTCTCAACTTTATCTATATCAGTAGTGATATAGGTGGAGGCATGGTGCAGTGTTGTCCAATATTGTTGCACAATCTCTCCCTTCATGTACTTTCTTGTCTATATGGTGTCTAACAGCATATATCCTTAGGATCTCCAATGATGAATAATTGATGAACTAACAACACTACCTCATTTCAAGATCTCTTGTAAAGCATATATTAAAGAGTCTTTGTGCCTCTATTGTTAGTGCCATACAAAGGTATTGATCTTTTCTCTCTTGGTCGCCTGGTAGCACACTCAAAAATATCCATGCCACTATCAAAATTATCACCCAGTTGGTAAGATGGATACTTGAGCTTGGTAGAACATGCACTTTCCTCAACAAATAGAGCATATGCTAAAACCTAGCATGTTCAAAAGCATCTCTGGACTCTTGAGTAGGGCCAAAACAACTAATGCAATTTGCTTTTCTGTCATTCCTTGGAGTGGTAAGGCTACTCTTTCTTTATAGATCTCAAATCTCCATGGTGGCATTAGCATGCTCAACTCTAGCATTATGTCCATCTCAATTGCATGAATTATCCTTTTTACCATCAATATCACTCAAACTTTACACACATGTGGTATTTTGCACACTCATTTATTTAAACCTAAACCGAGATGAGCCTTGACGAAGGATTGAGGGTGGGGCTACGTGGGCTGTCAAAACTTTTTGATTGTCACCTTTGTTGTGAATCATTATAATCTATAGTTTGTTTTTGGGTGGACTTCAATTGTCAGAGGCTGCTTCTCATGCTAACAAGTTTGAAGTTAAAGATTGCTTGAGATTGTGAGTTAAGAATTTTTAAATTTGGAAGGTTTTTGATGTGATGTTTACAGATCTTTTGAGATTGTGAGTTGGAGAAGAGAGTTGGGTCAGCATGATAAATCATGGCTAAAGAGTGATGTGGCATTTATAGATCTTTTAAGATTATGAGTTAAAAATTGAGAGAGCTAAACTAGTATGAACTCAATGTTTGCAGATCTTTGGAGATTGTGAACTGTGAAATAGGTAGAGAACTACAAATGAGGAATGGTTGTGATGTTGTGATGAGACAAATTGCATATAGCTATAATGCTTGCTCAACACCCTAACGGATTCAGCTGAAATGATTGGACTCGCTCTAGGTTAACACATTGTAGCGGGTTACTATGGCCCTTGTGGGATGACGTGGGTTTCTCGAGGCACAGGGTGTCCACACTCGATCTGAGGCTTGAGGTTAGATTTGATTGTCATAGTTAGGAGTCATTTCTGTCCACGGTCCATTTTTTAATCGCTACAACGTCCGCGTCCACACAATTGCATCCATGGTACATGTTTACCAGTGCCGTCGCGACGATGGGATCGAGCTCAATTCCAAGCTGCACGGCTTCACTGTGAACAATCTTTCCCTGTTCCAGGCCGCTCGCCCCAACTGAGCCAATCGCGTTGAGAACTCCGGCGAAAGTCGACCTGTTTGGCATCACTCCTTCTCGGGCCATCCTCTGGAACAGGAGGAAGCCATTCTCTGGAACGCCATTCTCGGCAAAAGCAGATATCATCGCGTTCCATACCGCGACTCCAAGATGGTGGCTTTTGCTAAAGACAGCATAGGCCTCTTGCAGAGCTTTGCAGCGGCCGTAGGCGCTCAGCAGGAACACGGCGATGGTGGCATCGGTTTCCAGCTCGCATTCGACGATGAAGGAATGGATAAAGGCAACCTGGTCTGCTGAAACAGGAGCTTCTTGCGCTTCCATGCACGCGTTGAGAACCAGGGTGAAGGTGGTCTTGTCCGGCTTCACGCCATCGAGCAGCATTCGCCTAAACAGTCTTCCGACTTTCCTGATCGAACAAACGTTGTTGGAGATCCTTCCAATCCTGTTGCTGTCTGTGACGTCGTTCTTCCCTCCACACAAGGCAAATACCGAGTTCCAAGCCTCCTTGTCTCGGTTGTGATCCATCTTCTCCAGGACTCTCTCCGCGTCTTCCAGCTCTCCACTCAACCGGCAGTAAGCCGCTAGAAGCGCATTTCCCACGGCCGAGCTCGAGTCAGCTCCCATCTCAACTGTATAGCCATGAATCTCTTCCAACTCTCTCAAACTCGAGCAAGCTGTGCTGGCGTTGACGAGCAAAGCCGAACTTCTCCTGTTGAGTTTCACGCCCTCGAGCTGCATTCGTCGAAACTGGCCGAGTGCCTCCTCCATGCAGCCGCACTCTAGGTATGCTGCAACGATGCTGTTCCAGGAGGACAGATTCGGCTGCTCTATCTTCTCGAAGACCCTCCGAGCATCCTCTAAACACTTGCACTTCCCATACATCTCCACCACCGCGTAAACTACCCTGTTGTGCGATTCCAGGCCCAGCTCTTGGACTATAAGATGGATGTGTCTTCCTTGTCCTGGCAGCCCCAAACGTCCACAGGCGCGTAGAGCACTCACGCAAGCGCTTCTCCCAGGAGAGATTCCTTCCAGGAGCATCTTTCGAAAGGAGCTTAAAGCTTCTTCATTCCGCCCGTGCTTCACGTACGCGGCTAGCAAAGTCCTCCACGAGACCATGCTCGGCCGCTCCACCCTTTGAAACATCCATTCGGCGTCCTCCAAGCTCCCACACTTGCTGTACATGTAAATGAGAGCGTTAGCAACATCAATATCCTTCTCGAGATCATGGTTGATGACACTTACGTGAATCCCCTTGCCGTGCTCGAGATCCACCGGCCGGATGCAAGCCCCAAGCGCCGCGAGAACAGTTTCTCGATCCGGAGCAACACCATCCTCTTGCATCCTCCTAAACAGCAGCAGTGCGTTCCAAAACTCGCCATTCTCCGTGTGAGCCGCGAGGAGCGCGTTGTATACTTCCAAGTCCGGCTGATGGATCCTCCTGAAAACTCTGCGAGCCTTCTTCAAGTCGCCACACTTCCCAAACATGGTGATGAGAGCAGCCGCCACGGAAAGCTGCGACTCTAGCTTCATCTCAGTGATGTGCCGATGAATCCATCTTCCTCGATCCCAGTCCTTCTCCTCGGCTAGCGCGTTGAGCAGTGCTAGGAAAGTGACCAAAACCGGAAGAAAACCTTCCAGGAGCATCCCCCTATACGTCTGAAATGCCTTCTCCAAATGCCCATACTGGGCAAATGCTGCTACTATTGCTGTCCAGGCCACCACATCTCTCCTCTTCATCCCTTGGAACACACGAATCGCGCCTCGCAAGCTGCCACACGCGGCATACATGTCAATAAGCGCAGTAGACACGATCAAGCTCGAATCCCAGCCAGCAGCAACGATTTGGGAGTGGATTTGCTTACCCACTGGAAGAAATCGCGATCCACAGCACGCTCCAAGGGCCGCGACGTACGTGATCCTGCCCGGAGTGACGCCCTGGAGCAGCAATTTCTGGAATGTCGCGATCGCCTCCTCCAATTCGTGGCGCTGGGCGTGGCCGGCGATGATCCGGTTCCAGGAGAGGATCCCTGGGTCCGGCATTCGCTGGAAGACGCTCTTGGCGGTCTCGAAGCTGCCGCATTTCACGTACATGTAGACGACGTGATCGGCGATGGTGGGATCTCTGTCCAGGCCCCTGGAAACGATGCGATCGTGGATCAAGATGCCTGCCTGGAGATCCTTGGAGTTTGCGTACGCGCGGAGGAGATGGATGTAGGCAGCGGTAGCAGCGGCGCTGTCCATTTCCCCGCTTCTTGCCGCGCGCGCTCGCGGGAATTTGGCGCTCTGGGCCGCCATATCTAGGGTTCTTGAGCTAGGGTTTAGGGGTTTTGTTTTCGATGGATGCTGGGGAGCGCCAAGTCCAGGTGCGATTCACGACGCGGCTGGGGAGCGATCTTCGCGTGGAAGCCACCGCATTCTCGCTACCCGTGCATCTCAATCGCTACGGCCTCTCGCAGATCATCAACACGCTCCTCGCGCTAGGTCTGGCTGGGATTTTCCCGAGATCTAGAGTGTGATTCTCCTTCTTTCCTCGCAGATGGCCCTCGGCCCTTCGATTTCCTCTTCGATGGAGAGCTCATTCGCACCACTCTCGAGCAACTCTACTTGTCAAAGAATCTTTCGGCTGTAAGTGTTTAAAAATCTTCTTTTTCTTCTTTGGTTTTAGCTTGTGGTTTTTCATTTTTCAGGAGAGCATTCTTGTTCTTGAGTACATTCTAGCAGTTGGACCGCCGGAGCTCCAATCTTCGCAGCCCGAGAAGGATTGGGTTAGTGCTGTGAATGGTGTGAATCCCAGGTAGGCTTAGCGCGTCTAGAGTTTTTGTTTTTCCATTGGCGATGATTACTAGAGGAAGGCCACGCAGAGACGCCGCGAATGGTTTTTTGCTGGGTGATTCAGTGCGTGACATTAGCACTTGATATGAGCCAATGTATTTGTTGCAAGGCTTTGTTTCTAACTAGAGCGTTTTGGCAGTTTGATTCTTTCCGGGTCTTACGACTCATTTGCCAGGTCTGGATAGCTTTACTTATTATTTTCTTCATCTGAATTGTCGTTCTTTCATGCAGAGCCTGGTTTCCGGATGGGACTTGTGGTTCAGTTCTTAAGGGACACAGTGATGCGATCACGTCCATTGCTGTAGCTGGTATTCTTGAAGCAAATAATTTTGCGGATTGACCTGTTTCGTTTGGTTTCTCAGGTTCGTCGAATGATACTGATCTCGATGTTATTACTTCTTCTAAAGATAAAACCTTACGGCTTTGGAAGGTTGGTAGTTTTGATCGTGTTTCGATCATTGTTAGAAATAACTCGTTGGTTCGAATGTAGGTACCTTTAAAACCATCTTCAAGCACTCTAAGTTCAGTCAGGATTTTTAAAGGCCATGCTGCATCGGTGCAATGTGTTGCTGCAAACCCCTCCAACACCCAGGTGTGTGTCACCTTTTGTATATGGAAACACTCAAACCACCACAGGTTTGCTCAGGCTCATGGGATTCGACAATCAAGCTATGGAAGATCGACTCGGAAGATGAAGACAACGAAGACGAACAGGCACTCAAGAAGCGGAAACTAGATGGAGCAAAGCAATCGATTGCGCAGGTGAGCATTCGTTCATAATTTGGAAATGAGAGCACTTCCGTTTTTGCAGGTGACAGCCTTTACTACTCACAAAGAACACACTCAGTGTGTCGCGGCACTAGAATGGCCCGAGGACAGATACATATTCTCTGCGTCTTGGGATCATTCTTTCAGGCAATGGGACGTTGAAACAAGCATCAACACACTGACAATGGTAAATTTCTTTCCTTCTTTTGTTTCCCCCGATTCAATCAGACTGACAAGTTTTGGTCAGACGTGCAGCAAAGCCTTACACTGCCTGAGCGTCGGAGGTGAAGGATCGTTGCTCGTAGCTACTGGTGGCGCAGACCCGGTGCTTCGTATTTGGGACACTCGAATGCCAGGTAAAGCATGCATAGCTCTTCGTCACTAATCAGCAGTTTAAACAGGTACGGTGGTACCGGTTTTGCAGTTGACGTCCCACACATCGTGGATCAGTTCTTGTAAATGGTAACTAAAGATCTCATAGATCGTGTTAGAAAATAACCAACATATCTCTCAACAGGCATCGCCAGTCGCCCAAGCATCTATTAACCTCGTCCTACGATGGCACTGTCAAGATGTGGGACATAAGAAGTAAAGTTCCGCTTCAAACTGTAGAGGCGCACAAAGACAAGGTTCGTTTGTTGCGAGCAAGTGCTCAAACAATTTACATTCTCGTTTTGTTGTAGGTCCTTTGTACGGATTGGTGGCGGGAGGACACAGTAGTCAGTGGTGGCGCCGATTGCGAGTTTAAGCTATTCAAATACACACCGATCGAATGGCTATGAGAGAACACTCTCCTGCGAGCACAGAGAGTAAGCGTGTCATCTCAATTCATTCGATCACCGGTGACTTCGAAGTATACCTCGAGAAGTTTTGGAAGTCAAGTTTAGAATGCTTGTTAGTTCCTCCAGGTGAGAGAATAAGATCAGGAACCATTTCGCTCACGAGTGCTTCGTTTGTCCGGATCGTTTCACCAGTGCCGTGTTTCCTGAGTGTCAGCGCCCTCGTCAAATCCATCCGATGGCCCCATTACTTGAAACACCATCTGTTTGTCATACTTCGCCTTCCTTCTCGCATCAAACTCCTCCCAGCCATCAATCTGAGTTGCGGTTTGCAATGTAAGCATTCAAGAAAAAAAATCAAGTATACTTCTCTCAGAGCTTCGATAGTGATGGGATTCCCGTGCAAATCAAGCGAGTTGAGTTCACCACACCCCTTGAGAATGCTCGCTGGAAACTCCTTCAGAGCGTTGTTTGCAAGGAGTAAGGACTGAAATAATTCAAGTGAGATTTCCTTGGCCCGAGACTTGAATCTACCTTGAGTTTTCGTAACTCGCCAATCGATGGTGGTACAAGAGTCAGGAAATTGGAAGAGAGATTTATCTGTTTCCTGTCATAAGTTATCCAGAGAGAAAAGGCATAAAAGGAAATGCAGACATTCGTAAGAGCAGAGCAGTGTCCAATAGATGATGGAATTTCACGTAGGCTGCAAGCAACAAAGTAGCAAAGCGTTGTTACTGTCAGTCCATGCGTTTCCAACGCACCTGTTGTTGCTCAAGTTGAGCCTTTCCAATCGAGACAGCATGCCGATATCGTCTGGCAGCGTTGTGAGTTTGTTCCTGGAAACGTTTAGCAGCCTGAGAGATGAAAGCCCTTGGATCTCACAAGGCAAGCTGGTCAAGCTGCACAAGAACCAGTGAAAAACAAAATGAAATCACTGAAGGAGCTGCTCGTACCAGTTGGCCGTGAGTTCAAGAAGCTCAAGGCTCTGTAGTGAGCACAAGCTTTTCCAGTGAATGCTAGTATCATCGAGGCTGTTACCCGACAAAGACAGTCTCTACACCCACAGCAAAAAAAGAAAAAAATTTCAAGGAAAAAAGGAACCGGAAAATTTAAAACTCACCTTTAGTTTTGACAAACATGAAAGTTCGGCCGGCACCTTTCTTAGCATTGTGCTCGTCAAGTCCAAAATTATTATCGACTGGCCGAGAGCCCACACAGTGGCTGGAATTTCCTGTGGAACTTTGCTAGAACCAAATCAAAGATAGAGAGAACATACCAGCACTTCAGTGTCTCGTAATGAGACATACCCAGTCGATTTCCAAACTTCAACTCTTTCGGGTGGTTTGATCTTTGTGGCCGGTTTCTCCGCTGGCTTCGACTTGAGCAAAACGCTAGGCTTCTTCATCTCAGGAGCTGACTGTGTAGAAAATTTTAGCAAAGAACAAAGAACAAAGAGTCCGAAAGGAAGGCATTTTTACCCCTTGATGTGTTCCTTGCGTGGCCATCATCATAATCTTGGAGCCGCTGGCGAGCGTCATGTCTGGAGTCAAGATCTTCCCTGGAATAAAACAATGTGCGCAAAATTGAAGCACAAAAAGAACGAGAGAATCGAAGTATACCTTTGTGGATGAGCTTCTGTCCGCGAGGCAGCACATTGGTCAGAGCTTGGAGCCGCTCCATAAGATCGCTCACTCGCGCCGACGATGGTAGTGAAATGTCGAGAGTTTGCTGCCCATGCCTGACGCTCACTCGCAGCTCCCCTTCCATTGTCACACTCAAAAGCCCTATAATTCAATGCGACCTCTTAACGAAAAATCTTAATCCCTGTTAATTCATTCTACACGTAATGGGCATTTGGTCTAGTGGTATGATTCTCGCTTAGGGTGCGAGAGGTCCCGAGTTCAATTCTCGGAATGCCCCCGTTCCGTTTTAATTGAAACCATATTAGTATACTATTACACAGAAAGCACATTTTCTCTTTTCTCACTTCCTGAAGTTCGCAGAGGTTTTAGAGGTTCGTCCCGGGTTGGAAAATCTGAGTGGGACAATTTTTTTCAAGTAGCCCACCTTGGGAAAGTGGCGTGCATCAGTGGGAAGTTCTTGGAGTTGAGGAATCCAGTGAGAAACATAGCTCCCATCGGGATCATAAGTTTGAGCCTGTTTTCCATTGTTTTTGAGGATGTAAATTGAAAGAGTGAATACCTGTTTGGGAATGCTGAAGTAGCGATCTTCTCGTGGATCATTCCCAACCCCTGCAGCAAAAACTCGGCGTGTCAAGCTTCTTAAACTTGAACGTAAAAATGTAGTTACCAGCTCCATACGTCCAGTTTCCATAGTTAGAGCATGGATCGTAATCCAGCAGACAGGATTCAAACCACTCGGCTCCCATGCGCCAGTCAATCCCCATATCACGGACCAAAAACGAGCAAACAATCTGGAAAGTTGATTTGTTAGACTCCTTAAGGAAATTACGTTCTTTTGTTTTCCAAACCTGACGACCACGATTCGACATAAAACCTGTAGCATACAGCTCCTTCATGTTTGCATCAATCAGAGGGTACCTGTCCATTTGATTCATTAGTAAATTCACTCGTTTGTTCACTCGTTTATACCCCGTGGTTCCTGTACGCCAGGCTTCAAAAAGCGTTTTGTCCTGGCTCCAGGATTTCGTTCTCACTTTACGAGGTCCTTCTGAGGATAAAGTAATGTTAAAACTGGTCTCTGCTATTGTGAGACAGGCCTTTACCTAGATGAAATATAGAATTCCCATATTTCATTGACAGAAAGCGAAAATAATCTCTCCAAATCAGCTCAAACAGAACCCTGCCAAAGAAGATGCTAGAAACAATTATAGATAATGCTGAGTACCAGTATGTCGAGTTGTTTGCTGTTCGTTCTTTCTCGTATCTTTTCACCTGAAAGCCAGAGAATTTGACACAAGCATCCTGAAAACTTAATACTTGCCTCTTCGTGGATAAAGCGAGGTGATATGCTGCCCGAAGCCAGCCAAGGGGAAAACTTTGTTGAATAATCAGCACCTAGCATCCCATTTCTCGTCTCTTTGTAGTTACGTAAGCAGTTCTAGTGCACAAAACAGTGTAAGATATATTTATTCGAAACAGTAAAGATGACATTGATACCTTAGTCCAGAAGTATTCACAGAGCCTCTGAATGGCTGCTGTTTCCCCACCGGCAAATTGCATTGCCGCAAGTGAGCTCTGATTACATCAAATCGTGTCAGGCCTTGGTAAAACATAGAGCTTCACACCTGTTCTCGCGGTCTCAATCCTAAGTGGCTAAGGTTTGGAACTTTATCAAGGTCCCCAACTTTTTCTCCAAGGCTATCTGGAAGAGGACCAAGTGTTTGGGGCAATTTCAGGCAAGGCCTTACTCGGGACGAGCTTTCAACTGCCTGACGATAAAAGTCAATTCATACCGAAGAAGGCCAACTTCTTACCTTGCGAAACTGTGTGTAAACATCCGGTAACCTGGCAGTAGTGAAGGGCAGATCATTCAAATGATACATGGTTGTGCCCCATACGAGTTCAAGCTTTGCTTTCGTGCCAATTGACTTCTTAACAGCTTTTTCCACTTGTAGTTCTTCGCTACACGTTTCTTCTTGTGCATAAATCTGCAAACCAGCAAGGTATAAGTACGAAACACAAACAAAAGAAAAAGAGTGAGTAAAACTTACTTACGGTATCAGCTCCTACAGCCTCCACTAGCGAAGGTAGTATAAACTCTGGATTTCCAGAGCGAATTACCAGGTCCAACCCCCTCTTCTTCAAGTTTTTCTTCAAATCCACCAGACTTTCTAGAAGAAACTGTGCGCGCAGTTCTATATCACGTTTGAAAATCAGTAAAGCTCCAAGTAAAAAGAAATCACAAGCTTACCTCCAGTCTTTGGAAATTTAAAATAGTGAGTCGTCCCAAAGTGCCTCGGATCAACACAATACACCGGAAGCACGGACGAAGAAGACGCCCAAGCCTTGAAGAGCGCCTCATTATCCACGATCCTCAGATCGTTCCTAAACCACATTATCGACACGCCCTTGCCATTCCTGCTCGATCCCGCCGAGCTATACCTCTGAATCATGCTCTCCACCGCATCCGCCATCGCTGCGCAATCCAACAGAGCCACGCTCAGCAATTCCCTGACCTACATTCTACGATATCTACCTCTCGTCGCCACCAATCTCCTCGACACCTTAGGAGCTGCCGCCGAGAGCCTCGAATCACGAAATCCCACACCAATTGCGTAGAAAGTCGAGAAATCCGAGCTGGGAAGAAGCGTTCCCCCTCTCTTGAAGCAGCAGCTAGAAACCACCATAGCCGCCCTAGCGGGCTCTAAGAAAATTTGAATCAAAAGCTCAAGAACACTCCTGTCCACACACGTGGCAAGCATCCGAGTAATGCTCGTGGCCACTGTAATCTCCAAACACGTGTCATACATTTTCTTTGCCCTAACCCTAAATACAACCACCTTTTTTCAACTCATAGGCACTGGTTGCTGGAGGAGAACCACGTCCATGCTATCCCCGTGCTTGTTCCAGAGAGCTTCCACGCACCAGTCATGCCCGTCGTCCACGGTTGGCATCCTCACTTCCCGGAGCTCGAGCGCCGCCACTCCGCCGCTACCATCGCCGCCACAATCCTTGGGAAGGCAAGCTCCCGCCATCACCCTCAGCACATTGGACGCGTCCACGTCCACGCACACAGTGATGAGCGGCACGCCCTTGGGCGCCGCTGGTAGCCCCGCGAGCTTGAAGAACCCGAGCAAATGGTTGCTCCTCGCGTTCTTGCTCTCGCCCTCGTACACCACGATCAGTGCGTCCCGCTGGTTGTCGCGGCTGGTCGTCACCACCACGTCCCTCCGGGCCGGGATCATCGAGTTCTTGTGGAGGATGGGCTGGAACTCACCGCCCAAGAGTGCCACTCCCACGCTGGACGCCATAGCCTGGATGGTGAGCAGATCCAAGCTCCCGTTCGGGTCCGTCACCCCAGACATGATCGCGCCCTCCAGCGCCGCCCCGCGCGCTGCCGCCTCGGACGTGTCGATCCCCGAGCTCTGGATCTGGTTGTGCAGCAGCGCCTCCATCTTCCTGGCGCCGAAGATCTTCTCCAGCGCCTCCTTGACGCCGGGGACGCTGGAAGCTCCCCCGACCGCGATCACGTCGGAGATAGCCACCGGCTCCACGTCCGCGTCTCTCAGGCACCCGACCACCAGGCTCGAGCACCGGGCAAATACTCCGGCGTTGAGATCCTCAAACACCTCCCTCGTCACGCTCCTGGAGAAGATCTGCCCGTTGCCAAGCTCCATCTCCACCAGCGCGTCCGGCTCGATCGACAGCGCGTGCATGGCTCTCTCCGCCGCGAATCTCAATCGCCCAGTAGCGATCGCCAACGCCGCCTTGGCGGGGCTGTGCCCGAGCTGCGGGATCATCTCGGAGACGAGATAGCTGACCAAGTTCTGGAGGAGCTCCTCGCCTCCAAACGCCTCCCCAGCGAGGCCCCGGATCTGCGAGACTCCCCCGGCGGTGGCGGTGATGGCGACGTCGCAGTAGCCAGCGCCCATGTTGAAGATCAGCGCGAGCTTCTCGGCGGCGCTGGCCGAGACTGGAGCTGAGATTCCCTGCTGCTGGATCATCTGGGCGTAGACGAGGCCGGCGGCGGTGGGCTCGGGCATAAGCCGAGCAACTTGGAGCCCCGCCATGACGCACGCCCGCTCGATCGTCATGAGCTGGAAGCGCGAGAAGCAAACCGGGACGGTCACCACGGCCGAGCGGACGATCCTCCCAAGGTGGAACTCGGCGATGGCGCGGAGCTCCATGAGCTGCAACGCGAGGATCTCCTCCGGGGTGGTGGATCTCCAGATGTTGTTACTGCCGCGAGCGCCAAGGAAGGGCTTGAGTCCGATCCCCAGGCTCTCGATCAGGAATGGGTACTTCTCGCGGCAGCTCTGGACGATCGGATCGGTGTCGGTTCTACCCACCAGTTTCTTGGCGCCAAAGATCGCGCGCCCAGACCAGAGCTCGTCCTCGCTCGCGCCGCCGCCGACCTTGTTGATCCCGGTGGGCGTGTCGCTGAAGAGCACGTAGGCGGGCAAGCTCTTGCGATCCTCCGGGCACTGGAAGACCTCCACTCTCCCATTCCTCCACACCGCCACCGCGGAGCTCGAGGTGCCCAGGTCGATGCCGATGGCGGCGCTGGATTCCAGCGGCGCTGGAAGCGCGGTGGAGCCATCGGGAGGCTCGTCGATCATCGGCTCACCCGTGACAATGTAGCTGGGACTGGATTCGGCAGCCATCTCACTCCTGGCGCGATCTACACTGCCAAGAGGAAGAAAGCGCGGCTAAGAAAGCCGCCAAGAACAGCACCAGAGTACCTTCTGGAGTCTTCTTCGTTTCGCGAAACCCTAGAAATTTTCATACGGGCTAGCCAAGATGGCGCGACCACATTGCACCACGTGTCACGCGATAAAAAAAAGCTATATTTCGTGTAAGAATACCAATATTTTTGCATTGTCGTCATCCACTGCATACTTATTTTGACTCTCGTGCTTGTTCTACATTCTAAATCCTTTTTGCCGGCAGCCATAGAACAAAAAGTTTCCAGGAAGATGGGAGCTTCGATTCGTGGATTCGTCTTCAAGTTCTTCATGTTCTTGGTGTTCGCTGGATGGATTCTCGTGTGGATCATGTCTCCAACATCAGCGTTCTTCACCCATTTCTCGGGGCCGATTGCCGAGCGTGTTTCTCTCAAATCCTACGGACAAACTGGTAAGATCTTTCCCTTCTTAGATCAACACCGAGAATTTTATGTTACCCTTTTTCCAGGAGTTTACACGCTCATCTACACTGCTCCGGTTCTCTTCATGGCATTCATCGCAGCGCTCTACCTGAGCCACACCAAGAAGCACACGAACACCAACGAGTTAAGAGAACTTAGTTAAAACTCACCCTTTTCTCATCAATCTTCCAGGGGATTGAGAAAGTTTCTCAAAGTTAATCCGTGGACTTATCCGGTTTTTCTCCGAGGACCACTGGCACTGATTTCTCTCGCCGAGCTCGCGCTTCTCACAGCTTCCATTGCCTTATACACATGGACTCTTGCAAAGTACATGAAGGGCTCTTTCGATAGGATCAATGTCCCTTTCGACTGGATGGGAAGGCCTATAACACTGGGACCACTGTAAGTGATTGACAAACAAAAAAGAGAAGAAAAAATCTTGTCACTTTTTTTGCTGGCTTCCAGATGGGAACGAAAGTTCAACATTGTTGGAAAAGTCTTTGGTATGACTGGAGCCGTCCCTTTTGCGTTTCTCTTCTTCCCAGTCGCGCGGCTCTCTTCACTCTTCCGGCTGATAAACATACCATTCGAGCATGCCGTGCGGTACCACATTTGGACGGGGCATATCACGATGTTCCTCTGGACTGTCCATGGCTTGGTTTATATCCTCTACTGGACAATGGCAAACAAATCACAAGAGGTATCAAAGTTTTCGAGAAAAGACCTTATTTGGTTTCTCTCTTGCAGCTTGTAAGGTGGCACAAGATCGACATAAGTGGGCTTACTGGATTGTTTACTTGGATCGTCGGCCTTCTGATGTGGGGGACTTCTCTAGCTCCAGTCCGGAAGCACAGATTCGAGCTCTTTTACCACACACACCAGCTTTACTTTGTCTTCATCGTTGGCTTTGCTCTTCACCTCGGGGAGGGATGGCTCGCCATTGTTATCGCCGGAGTGTTTCTCTTCTTCATCGATAGACTCTTCCGGTTCTTGCAATCGATGAGGCACGTTGAGGTGGTCTCGGCGAAAGTCATCTCTCCAGAAACTCTGGAGCTCACTCTCGCTAAAGTTCCTGGTGAAAAGCAGATACATTTTTCTGTTCTTCGCTGTTAACTTATGACTTACTTGGACAGATTTGAAGTACCCGGCCGCAAGTGTGATCTTTCTCAACTTGCCAGCCATCTCGAGATTGCAGTGGCATCCTTTCACTGTTACATCATGCTCAACTGTGGACGTGGATCGAATTACTATTTTCGTGAAATGCAGTGGAAGCTGGACCTGCAAACTCAAGTCGCTGCTCGATCAGGAGCGTCTCAACGAGAACTCACACAACTATCCCGTACACTTTGAAGCAGCAGTTGAAGGTCCTCATGGTCACGAGCTGGATCATCTTCATGCGTAAGTTTTTGGGCTCAAAATGCATTAAACCTCACACCTTTGTGCTGCAGATATCCAACTTTGATCTTCGTGGCCGGAGGAAGTGGAGTCGGACCATTCATCTCAATCCTTAAGGACTTGCTCTACAAAGTCCACAACAAGCTCAGGCTTGCACCAAAGAAAATCGTTTTCATTCTGGCAGTCAAGTTCTCCGAGGAGCTCCAGATTCTGCATTCCATCTCACCTTCTTCCATCGCTCCCGATTTCTCCGCCGCGGATTTCTTGGAACTTCATGCTTATGTCACTCGTGAGAGCGAAAGTGATCTCGAATCCCCCGTCAAGTTGAACGAGCTCGATCATAAGTCCGTCATCCATTTCGCGGGACGCGCGGCATCATCTGGAAATCCAAACGCGAAGAAAGTTAGAGCAGTGGCAAAGACATTTGGCTACAAGCTGTATGCAGCAACAATCCTGGCATCGTTCGCAGGATACATGCTCATCGCGGGACTGGTGCACCGCTTCTACATCTATCCGATGGATCACAATACGTACCAAGTTTGCTCGATATCGGGTAGAGGATTTGCGTCGCTTCTGGAGTACGTGGTCGCCATTTGTGCCTTTGGTGGTGGAACTATCCTCCTGTGGAACTGGTCCAAGTCGAGACGAGACTCTAATCTTGTAGACGCGCCAGTGATAGACCCAAGCTCGACGAAAATGAGACCAAGCAAAGTGGTTTATGGAAGACGCCCGGATTTCCAAGGTAAGCAGCTCCTCAAGCAAGGAGAAATTCGATTTGTGATCTAAGTTGCGTTTTTTCGTCACAGAGATCTTCTCTGAGCACGCAAGCAAAAACAAGGAATGCACTGGAGTCTTCGCTTGTGGACCCGAGGGAATGCAAAGGAATGTGGGTTTCCAGTGCCGAGATCACAAGCTCAACTTCCACCCATTAAACTTTGAGCTCTAAACTTTTCTTTTTGGAATCAAAAAGGAACAAAGATGAGTATTGTTTGGAAGCGGGAAGGATCATACCTGTAGCAAATTCTTGCGTGATGCTTTACGCGAGGGATCTCCACATCACGGCGCAATCACAGGCGCAGAAAACAAAAAGAAAACTCTTTGTTTGACAACGAACAAACACTTGAAGCTCACTTGGGCAAAATCCACCACTAAAATATACGAGGATTAATCCCTCGAGTTTGCAAAAGGGGAGTTGACAATTTTATGTACTATTTTGCATGAAGCAAGGGTGTACAGCTTTTGCATGACTATAGACTAGACAGAGGCTATTCCTCTCATCCGCAATGGCTTTTCTTCGTGTTGCTGCCAAGGCTTTCATGGCGATTGTCTTTGCAAGATGGATGATGATCTGGATCATGAAGCCAACGAGAACTTGGACAAAAAATTTCTGGAATCCTTGGCATGGCAAACACAGGGACACCGGGCTCTGGCGCTGGAGGAGAGGGAGAAGGCAATAATTTCGAGAATTTCTTACACCAAGGACCTATCAAAGTGTCCGGTGCTTTGCGAAGATCATACTACAAATGGCTTTGCCAGAATATTCTCTTGCCAGATTAATACTGGGCGCGATCCTGGGCGACGCCCTGTTCCTCATGAGGCCAACGAGAACGTGGATTCTGGAATCCTGTTCTTCGTCATGTCTCCTCCAAAGCATATCGCGACACTGGTATATAATCGCGCCAGGAAGTTGATAGCACTGCTCACTGTGATTCTTCCAGGGGCATACACGCTTATTTACTTCTCCCCCATACTCCTGGTGGCGTTTGTTAGAGCCATTTATCTAAGTTACAGCAAGAGAAGCAAGTGAGCTAGAATCTCAAATTCTTCTTTGATAATAATTTAAGCATCCTCTTTTTCTTTCTTTTATGCAGGACCATGAAGCCACTTAAGATAAATCCATGGAACTATCCAGTGTTTGTTAGAGTCCCATTAGCGCTAATCTCATTATCCGAGTTGGCGCTGCTTGGGGCTTTTGTGGCTTTGTTTGCTTGGATGACCGCTAAACACCTCAAGATCTTTCTACAGGATCAATATTCCATTCATGACGCATCCCGGAATGAGCGACCACATGGATCCTTTGTAAGTATTAAGTGTCTCAAAGTCACGAACTCTCAACTGAGATGTACTTTTCTTGATTGAAACAAGAAGGTGGCAGAGGAAGTTTAACATCGTTGGAGGCAGGCTTGGGCCGTCCCGTTTGCATTTCTTTTCTTTCCAGTTGCAAGATTTTCCTCCCTTGTCCAGCTTATCAATGTTGAGCACTCGATCCGCTATCACATTTGGATTGTGTCAATTTCTCACAATCCAAAGAGGTAAACCTTTTTTTTACAATTTTTAAACTTTATTCTGTTTTTGGTCCATTTTATTTTGTGGGAGAAGACGATTGCATGGATTGTTGGCCTGATTATTTGGGTCACATCACTCAATTCTGTTCACAAGCAGAGATTTGAGCTCTTTTATTATACTATCATGGCAAGCCATTTCTCTCCCACATGGAAAAACGAATCCAATCACAAACAAAATGTAGAGCGATAGACTATTCAGGCTCTTACAATCCAGAAGGCATGTTGAGGTGGTATCGGCAAGGATGATCTGTAGTGAGACCATAGAGCTGACGTTTGCAAAACTCCCAAGTATTATACTTATCTATTTTTTTAATATCTGTATTAATATTTTTTGTTCTTATTTTTGCAGATATGACGCAGCAAGTGTGATTTTTGTGAACCTCCCTGCGACTTCAAGTCTGCAGTGGCATTCATTTACAGTCACCTCCTGCTCTGGAGTCGAGTTTGACAAGCTCTCGATTTTAGTGAAGTGAAGTGGAAAATGGACATACAAACTCAGGGAGCTCTTCATCCAAGAGGGTTACAGAAGTATTTCCAACGAGAATCCAAGTCCCCACGGGCATAACATTGACTATTTGCATATGTAAGTGTATTAAATATATGACTTTGCTCTTATGATGGGTTACTTTGTTAGATACAAAATGTACTTATTCGTTGCTGGGGGAAGTGGAATAGCTCCTTTTCTATCGATTATCAAGGATCTTCTCCACAAGGTCCAAACAAAGCAGCGCACTCCACTGGAGAAGATTTTTCTTGTGTGGGCGGTGAGGAAGCTGGA